CACTACCATTATAGGTTGGATTGAAGCATAGAAATAATAGACAATAATGTCTATCATTTCTATGGATTGAAGTTAATTTTTCATAAAATTGTATACTTCTCTGATTTCCAGGCCAAAACACCAGAGCAGTGGGAGGCATCTGGTGGCACAGTAAATAAATCACCCCCCTGTCTTGGTGGTTCCGGGAGATAGAAATCTACAGAGAAATATATTGCTGAAAATTGCTTCGGGAAGAACGATTCACTGGACGTCGAGCTGTCCGTGCACAATGTGCTAAATTATTTGGCGGAGTAGGCGTTAACCGGGGGATTAGCAGGCCACCTCCTAGTTGGATGTTTGTAAATTATGTTTTGATTTTAAGTCCTGGTTACCATTTTTTGCATAAAGTGTTGTAATAAAGTTTTGTCTCGGTTCAAAGATGAAACGTCACTTCCAATAAATATTATATTCGTAATGTGCTCCTGTTCTGTTTAATTCTATTAATTGAGAAGAATAGTTTTAATTAATTCTCGCAATGCAGTCAGCTCCAAACTATCGGAAAAAAATACGAACCGCCATGGTAGCTAGTTGGTGAAAATATGGTGAAGTTACGCAAAAGTTAAAATATATAAATAATACAACTAGATAATATAGTGTGTTCTTTACGACCTGTGCCTTTAAACCGCTTGCTGATTTTAAAAATGTCACGGGCTCAAAGTACAAGTTGCATAATTGCTGACTTGCTGTAAATTATGTTTGTTGATAGCATTAAGCCAATCAGAAGCCTCAAAAGACACGTGGTGAACACTGATGTGGTGCATGGTGTCACTGCGTCTGGTAGTATTGAACCGAAGCTAACCGACGTAAAACGTTATATTTATAAACGAAACGGGATTTACACATTCTTTATTCTTATCAAAGCAGCTAAACTTTGCTATACTTACGAGAAATACTTCTGATCAGCTTCAAGCCTTCAGCTATGAGTAAACTACAGGACATTACAGACAGCGATGTTTCACGATCTTCTGGTTCTCCTCCGTCGTATACGACTGAAACCGCCAAAGTCGTTAGCATTTACGATGGCGACACTTGTGACTTGGTCTTTGTCAGGAATCGCAGTTTCCAACGATTCAAATGTCGCTTGGCCGCAATAAACTCACCGGAGATGAGCACAGGCTCAGAGGCAAAGAAGGCACGTGATTTTCTCGCTTGGTTATGTCTTGGCAAAGACCCGTCTAGTTTTCCTCGCAGTAGCCCACCATGGTCTGATGCTGCCCTTCAGTCAAAGTTGGACGCGAACAAACAACTGGTTGACGCGGAATTTCAAGGCACTGGTGGATACGGTAGACCTTTGGTTGTTCTAAGATCGCAGTCTTATACAAAATCTTTCAATGATCTCCTCATCGAGTATGGTTATGCCACTCCTTACCGCTGATAAACATTGGCTGTATAAAGAATATTTACAGTAAAGTAAACTTAGCTTTATTTACTTAAGTAAACTTTGTGTATGTTTAGTAGCTTATGTTAGGTGTTTTCTAATCGTCTGTCTAATCGAAAACACGACTAGTAAAAGAAAGTAATCGTATAAGGAACAGTCATCACTCATTAGCTAAATTATGTCTTATGTTCAACCACGTTATAGCAGCAATAAAAATGTCCTAGAATATCATAGGTTTTGTAACTTTCTCACGCGCTTATATGTGTTCAGTCTGGTTTTCTTATAACGTAATTATTGAAAACCACACTACAACAAATTGCAACAAATTACGACATTTGAATTACGACGAGTTATGACGAATTATGTTATATGAAAACCAGCCTTCATTTGTACATGTATGATGTATTCCAGAATGATTAAAGTGTTAAAACTCTGTGTTTACGTGATTTCTGACACGATATATGAAATATTATTTTGAAAGTTGTTTCCCTTAAGTAAATTCATCCCTATTCGCGAATTCAACAAATTTACACTCGTGGGTTGTAATTTTGACTTTTGAGAAAACGATTCTTTTTCTTGGTATTTCCCCGAATTCGGAATTCCTGGAAGAGGAAACGAAAGTGCTGAATCGACAGAATCATCATCGGATGATATGGACGAGTGAACGAGTTACCAGTGTTGAAATAACGGTACTTATTTATCATAGCATTCGTAACTATCTATCAAAAGACGAATACCGCAGCAAAAATTACAAGTGTAAACGGACCATATAAGCAGATTATAAAGATTACACCTGCGATACTATTGGTTTACTCCACAAATTTAATAGGTCAGCAATTATAGATTAGCGGGAAAGACCGTGTTTACACTAAAACTCGACTATCGAAGCGACGTTTAGCAAATCGCTTATTAGACACTTGAAAAATTGCATTGCCACATATTATGGAAATCGCCTTCTTTGTCTGGACAACAGACCACCTTTTTAAGTTTTCTTTTATCTGACACCTGTAAAACTATAGATATCAATATATATTTAATGTGATTAACCGCGTACTGTGTCAGTGTTTCATTGTGGGAACAGTGTCTACGATTGCATTACGTCATTTTCAAGATTAGGTTCCGCGGACCAGGAGCCTGGGAACGAACGTGTGAAATCGGGTATTTTTAGAATACCTCGGGATATAATAGTTCGGATTTTACCGAATTGCGGTTTACACTTGACAGCGTTCTTAGCTCAGTCTGCAAAGACTAAAGTGGTTGAACTTTATACCGACATACTTCTGGTCGGCCTCAGCTATGAACAAACGACTGCAGGACATAACTGACAGCGATATCTCGCGTTCACATCTCTCTCCTCCGACATACACGACCTTAACTGCAAAAGTCGTCAGCGTTCACGATGGCGACACTTGTGATTTGGTGTTTATACAAAACGGCCGCTTTGAACGGTTCAAATGTCGCTTGGCCAATATTGACACACCGGAGTTAGGCACTGGTCTGAGAGCGAAGAAGGCCCGTGATTTCCTGGTTTGGTTAAGCCTGGATAACAATCCAGCAAGCTTTCCTGGCAGCAGTCAGCCATTTTCAGAGCATCAAATTCAGAACAGCTTGGACGGTAACAAAGGGCTGGTTAATGCAGAATTTCAAGGTACAGGCGGATACGGAAGACCTTTGGTTGTCTTAAGAAAGTCTCATGGGAAATCCTTTAATGATCTCCTGATAGATTATGGCTATGCTAATCGTTACCGCTAAAAAACCGCATCTTCTGACACTGATTACGGATTAAACACAAACTAAATATCATATTTTTAGGGGACATTAGTTTGTCATTACTCGTTAGCTAAATAGAAAAGGGCTTCGATTTTCATCTTCACTCACACTGAATTTTGGTTGTCTTTGAAATGACTTATATTCGTATAATTTGAGAACGACTTCGACACAATATCTTACGTAATTAAGTAGTATTATATCTCTTATAGTTTAAGGTTATTTATAAGTCACACATTTAATATATCTTATTGTTGGTACAAATGATAAAACTTGTCTTTGTTAATATTTACTTTGCCTATTCCACAGACAAATTTTGCATTTCTCGGTTGAATAATCAGACTTAATTTCCATTTATGTAAACGAGCAAGCGGGCGGTCTCTTTTCTCGGTATTTCTCCCAATTCTGGGAAGAGAACAACGAAAGTTGCTGAAATGGCACAATCGCAATCATTCTCGTTCCCAGAGCCCGCGATTTCCTCTGGCGAGGAAACAAAGGCTTTTTCAAGATTTGTGCGAAAGTTAAAGTGGAAGTGAAGTCTGTTCTGCACATAGGCACAGAGCATACAGAGTTTTGACTGCCGTTAATTTTGCGTACCCCTGGCTTAGCCAGTGCGCTTAAGAGAGGCCTTCTCCCCCCGGGAAAGCATGCATATGGCGGCGGCTTGAACACATGAATGGAACATAAACAGTCGAGACAATTATCCTTTAGAAGAGTATAGAAGTGGGAGCGATCTGTTTATTTATATAGCGATGGCTATTTATAATGTTTGGTGGGGATAGAGCCTCTCTTTAGCGCACTGGCTAACAACATGGCCGCTAGGAACCCATAATTAATGCAAGGTCAAACCTCTGTATGCTCTGTGACATAGGTTCTGCTTTGCATCGGTTCTGTTTTGAGACAAGTTTTCATGATCGTGTTAAAAATTAAAATACTTTTCCAGACCATGTTTAACATGAAGGAAGCTACTACGGTCGTAGGACAAAAATAATGAAAACCCTCGAGTGATATCTCCTGATTATAAACATGCACTTGTCTTATGCATGTGGGTGTCTTTTCTAGGTATAATTTCCTAGTATATTGTACCTCTAATTCAAGTCTTTATCAAGGCCAGGATATGGACTTAAGAATAATACATTATCTCGGCATATTGACTTTGAAATTACCGATAAATGCTGACGAAATTTTGCCACCATGGTTACGAGATTATGAGCTCTGCATAATGAACATTCAGGAAAGACTCATGCATTTTATCACCCCATCACTCGGTCTTGGCACCTGAAGCAAGAAACAGCTTAAAATACAACAACAAGAAGAGTTTTGAAGAAGAAGAGTTTGACAAATACAACAACAATGAAGATATTTGTGCTGTTTTGTTTCCTTTTGTTAGCTTCAGCCTGCGTGCTTGGTAAGTTTTGTTGCTGGCTCTCTTTTCCATTGATTGTTGAGTAGGAACATCAGAAATAAGATCGATAGATTTACTACACATACAATTTAAAAGCGATTATTTGTCAACAATATTCCGTGTAAGGCTTTTTCGCTGGCATCTGTTCCAAAGGCATATAATTTAAATTTGTCTTGTTAAAGAAGGAGTCTGAACAACGTTTTCACAACTGGTTGGAAAGTTTTATCACACATTTTTGTGAAAGAACGTGAAATTTAGACGCGTGTACTTGCAGTCGTATAGGACGGTGTGCAGTGTGATTATTTCATATTTTTCCAAAGTCGCTCGAGCTAAGTTGCAAAATAAGCCTAAGCTGGCGGATGAAGTAGGTGACGAAGATGACACGGAAGCCAACGAAGAAGACACGGGAGCCGACGAAGAGGACGCGGAAGCCAACAAAGAAAACGAATTTTGGGAAACCGAAAAAGATGAAGGTATTAAAAGCTTGCCTGCCTGCCAAAAAAATTATGCATGTTCACAGTGCATCATTTCATCCCTGATGAGCACACTACTGACTCAGACTGCAGTGTCGAAATCATTCTTCAAGTATGTGTAGCTTCATCGGCAAGAACAACTGAACCATGTATATCTGTGCTCAGTTTTCCAAACTGTAATCCGACTGTGAATAAGTTTTAAATATTAAAAAAATGATTTTTGAAAAAAATAATGCATTTAATTTTTTTGAGTAGAAACTACAGATGTTGCTCCTCACAAGCCCAAGAAGCAAGGTTGGTAATATAGCATGTAATTGTGTTAAGCTCGCAAATTTTGTACTTTTTGTTATATGAATAAAAAAATGATAATTTTGTAGCCTCGTAATTCGTGGCCAGAAGTCGAGGACATGCATGGAATTTGGAGATTGCCGTAAAAATTTGCATTTGTAGAAATATCTTTTAACTGCAGCACAATAAATTATATTGCAATTTCACAACGTTTGAGATCTTGCATGGAATACTTGCAATTTGCCATGTTTGCTTCTTGTAAATCAAGAAGAAGTTGCTAGGGTAATATTCTGTGGGTTTATTCCAATTTCTCATCAGAGGAAATGACATGTTTATATATTAATAAAAAAACAATCGACTTTAAAAGATATGAAATATTCTCCCCGTCCCCATTTACGCATCTATGGCTTTCTCTCTAAACACAATTCCTAACAAGATTGAAGTTTCGAGCCAATGGGATTTCGCATAATCTAATTTTCATTCAAAGTTGCTGATAAAAGTTTTTACGCGTTACATATCAGGTTTGAAACTGAGACATTTTGAAATGGTTCGGTGGGGCCGGTTGTATCAAGGCCGTTTAGCTTAAACGGTGGTTAAGTTCAAAATAGAAAGCAAGTCTATCGTTTTATTCAACAAGCAAACTAAATGTTTTTAACCTTAATACAAAGATACAGTCTACAACTGCATATTCAGTGCATAATATTTAAGTTGAATCATTCAAGAGGGATGTAAAAGTGTTATTTAATTTTGACTTATCCACCGTTTAAGCTAAACGGGCTTCATACAACCGGCCCCTGGCGTTTACGCTCTGACATGACTGTGTTTTTTTGTGACTGATAAGGTTGGGAATGCTACCAATTCCATAGAGAGCATCAATTGTGCGAGATCTGTGCTCGACGTGTATGTACGCGATCGTGCTGGCAAGAAACATGCAAAATAGTTACATGCAGTGGAGAAGACCATCGTATCGTATCCAGTACACAAACGTCAGACACGGTCACGGGCATCGCCAGTTTAAAAAGATCATACAATTGCCATACGGAGTTTGTTGGAGTCCAACCAAAATCTGCTACCAATGTGACTATATCCCTTCCAAATGTAAAGAGGTCTGCCGCTTGGAATACGACGTCAAACCGGTGAAGTTATGATGCCCGCTGATTTTCTTAAAATGGTGAACAATGTACTCTTTACCGAAAGTAGTCAAAATTTATGGGTTCTGATTAGGTTACTGGAAAGAATAGAAATAAATTTAATTTTGTCGAAATATAATTTGAATTTGTAATACTTATGTTGGTTTTATGTTGTTCTTACACTGGCGAGCGTTCGTAAATAATTTCTATGCTGTTGTGCTACGACTGCATTGTGGGTAATAGTGCATTTCACAACATGCATGACGTCACATGCGCCATCTTGATGTTCAGCCAGTTTGAAGAGAATCGACCGTACTCACAATAACGTTAAACAAATCCGGAATCCCGATGTTTACACGACGTTTGTTATACAAAAATAAGGAGCCAATGAAACTTCATGTAACATCAGGCTTTCCGCGTTTGACGTCATTATAAGAAAATGAATCTAATCTGTTAAACTCATTTGGGCTACTGATAATAATTCCATGTTCAGCAAATCCTAAAATATGAACGAAATTCTTTTTTGAGATTAAGACTCTCTCAATCCAATAGACTTTTAGAAAAGTTTCAGGGACGAATGATAAGATTTGTCTGTTATTTTAGTATTAGTGCATGTTAAACATGTAATCAAATATCGAATATGTCAGCGGTTTGTTCAAATGGGGGGTCAAAATTCATAATTATTTTCAATCGCATTGTGTTAGTCTGTTTATAACACTAACAAAATAACTATGCCACTATGATACGAAACAAAGAAAACGGTATCCAAACTAACGTATAACTCGGGGTATATGATGAACTAAATAATAATAGAATATATAAAGGAAGTAAACTGACCAGGGTTGCCAGAATAGTGAACAAATTAGCCAAATAAAACTTGACAAATGAATTTAAAAATTAAAATAATAGTGCTTAATGTTTGCGGCATCTGCTTAATTTATTTTTAATTTTTGACAAAAAATTGCCCGAGTCTGCATGAAAATTTCTATATGCCATCGCGTAATGATAGTCATACTAACTCTCCTGACGAAGGCCCTTAAGTTCGAAACGTTGAGAAGTTTTTTTTGTCTATTTGCGGCAGCTGTTATAGGTACAACATTTGATGCGAAACCAAGCATAGTATAGACAGTCGAGTAGCGGATATCAAACATACTGTACTATATTTCGTTGGAATTCGTCATTCTTCTTGCCTATTATTTACAAGCTTTTAAAGAAACATTTCGTTGAGACAAGTTTTATGAACAAGTTAAACAATATTTTTGCCGAGTATGTGAAGGAACGTAGTGATATAATGAAAACCCTTGAGTGACCTACTTGATGATAAACAAGCACTTGTCTTACGCACGTAGCTATTTTCGTATCTAAGTATAATTTCCTATTATTGTACTTCTAATTCAAGTCTTCATCGAGGACAGGATATGAACTTGGGAAAAATATATTATATCTCTGCATATTGCCTTTGAAATTATACTGATAAATAATGACGCAATATTGCAACCATGGTGACGAGATTATCAATCCCTCCATGAAATTATAAGCGTACCACAAAAATTTGTGAAGGTCTAATATAAAACGGAGGCACTGCTGAACGATATTCAGGATTCGAATTATCGACTTGTGAGACAATGATCCTGAATGCGATTGATTAAATGATGGCAGCTATACGGTTGTTCATAAAAAATTAACAACAAACACCAAGACTGCACTACAGACATTTATGTATAAAATTGAGAGATATACTTCGAATTAAAACGTGGGCCCGTATATTTGCCAAAAATGGGACGTTCATCCTGATGTACATACTTGCTATTACTTACAGCCAGGTATTAGCTTTTTAACAGGAGTTGCGGATGTTCTTACTTTATCACATGTGCAAGTTTGAACGATTTAATCTATGATATATAAAACCAGGAAATCGTCAGAATATAATAGTGATATATCTGGCAGTTTTACGAAATATTATATACCCGCCGTTTATCAGAGGAGACAAGTCATGCAGATAAGTTGGGCCAAGTTTTTAAAAGGAAGTCGCATGTTATCGCTTGATCACTTTGTTTTAGCACCTCAAGCAAGAAACAGTTTAAAATTGAACAAGAAAGAAGGATGAAGAGTTTTGCGCTGTTTTATTTCCTTTTGTTGGCTCCAGCCTGCATTTTTGGTAGGTTTTGTAGGTTCTTTTTTTTGTAGGTCGATTTTTCATTACGATTATCTCACTGCTCGTTAAAACCAGTTGATTAAATGCACACAAGGCTTTTTCCTATAATAATCTCTTTACTCAAAAGGACTGCTTGACTTTTTTACAACTGGTTAGAAAAATTTATAAGTTTCAACTAGAATTCATTAAAAAAATGTGAAATTTAAACGCGAGTACTTTCAGTGGATCATATATTGCTGCGTAAAGGTTTTCTTTTATATTCATCCGGCCGGTATAAAACTCTTTAACTAAACTTTGCATAGTTAAATTCCTGTTAATTAAGAGAGGCCTATGATTGGCCAATTCCGTCTTTAACTACAGCTAAAACTTAACTAGTCTTTTACAACTGCTCCTCTAAGTCGCTCGAGCTGACGAGGAAATTCTCGCTGTCGATGATGCTTCCGAGTTGGGAAATCCGCCTGATATAGCAGCTGAGAAAGAGCAAGCTGACAAAAAAGACACGGAAGCCGACGAAGAAGAGACGAAAGATGATGAAGAATACACGAAAGACGACGAAGAAACCGAAGATGACGAAACCGAAGAAGATGAAGGTATTCAAATTTAAGACCAAGCAATAGTGGCTGAACTAACTGCTGCAAAGATTTCCATGTATATTCACAGCGAATATTCAGTATTCACAAGAATCATGAAGACAGCCATGTACACTAGACTAGATGCACTGTTATCCCACTGCGCATGAGTTTCAAATACTAAAAAATGCAAAAGATAATTGAGAAAAAAAATGACAGTTAGTTTTTTTAAAAAAGAAGCTACAGATGTTGCTGATGACAAACCCGCGAAGCAAGGTTGGTTAATATAGCATAAAATTGAATGTTTGCATTTATTTGAATTTTGCCCTGGTTTATTTCTGGTAAATCAAGTTTTATCGAAGTTCCTGGGATAGTTTCTGCTGTGTTTATGTCAACTCAGACGTGATAAATGCGTGGCTAAAACTTTCGCTTGGAAAAGCGGAAAGAATACTGATAAAAAATTCTGAAATCTACCTCTAAATATTTGGAGTAAATAACTTGTCCTGGCACCAGCAATCGGGTCGAATTATAACCGAAATATGCGTGATAATTTGAATGCGAGGAATTTTTCAGCAATTATACATTACTATACACCGTGTTGACAAATTGCCGAAAAATTTCTCGCTCAAACTGTTCCGCATATTTGGACTACCTATGATTATCTTTTAGTGTTTTAGTCCTTTGTATTGTAAAGTTTGCTATAAACTCATGCGGCTATAGTTTCACAATGTATGTAAATTTCGCGTAATTTAAATTTCATTGCAAGTTGCTGTTAAACGTTTGTTCAGTGTAAAATTATGTTTAAAGTTCAAAGGTTTTTTGAAAAGGTTGGGTATGAATTGATGGCATTTTTGCTCTAACATGACTTTACGCTTTTTAACTAATAAGGTTGGGAATGCTATGGACATTCAAAAAAGTGCGGGACCTGCTTTCGACGTGAATGTAGGCGATCGTGCGGACAAAAAGTATGCAATAAAGCTATTTGTGGCCAGAGGATGGAGTGTCATAAGCGGGGCGGGCACGGAATTTGTGCGCTTGTACCTAAAACCTGCACAACATGTCACTTATTTCGTTACCCATGTCGAATGGTCTGCCGCAATGAATACGTCTACAAACCGGTAGGTAATATTCATAAGCTGAATTTAACAGTTGGAACATTCCTCGGAATGGAACACAATAGGAAAGTTTTCGGAGGAAAATTTTTCGAATGCAAGATTTTCTCGGTGGAAAAAATTTCAAGTGAATTTGAACTTTGTGGACTTTTCCTCGGTACAGAAATATTTCCGAAAGAGATTTTGAAAGATTTTACTGCGCATGCGGCCGCGTTGTCCGGTGTGTAAATTTTCAGCTATAATTACGCTGCCATGGATGTGCAAAGGCGTCGTTAATTTTTGCTGCAATTTCCGGGCCAATTTGATAATATATTAATGGGAGTCGATAAGACCGAGTCGAAACTATGAGTAATTTCGTTTCAAACTAATCCGCAAATTTGTTTACATTTTAAAGCCAATTAAATCAAAGAAAATGCCTACGTTTTTTATAATTCAAGGTATGTAGCAACTAATGCACCATTTTACCGTGAAGGTTGGCAAAATTCATGCATTCTGATTTATTTACTGAGAGTGTGAACAAATTTCCTGATTTGTCTGAAACGAAATTCCCCCTTGCCTGTTCTGTTCTATACTGATGAGGACAAATCAATTCTTAGAGGAAATGGTAAAATTAACTTAATTAAGAAAAATTAACTTAATTAACTTACCAAGGGCATTCGCCCCCCTGCCAATGTCTGAAATGGCCCCATTTTTATAATAATGGCAGAGCCGCAGGGCAGTGGCGTAGCCAGCATCGATAATTGGGGGGGGGGGCATATTCATATATTCATGTTAACAGACTGTAAAGACAATTGATTTGAAAACAAATTAAACCTGCGTATCACGAATATATGAATATTGGCCCCCCCAATTATCGTTCGGGCTACGCCACTGCCGCAGGGGGGGGACGATTGCCTCTATTTACGGTACTTGCTGAGTGAAGAATCCGTACGAATCACATTTACGAGAAAAA